TGTGGATTTTGTATGTTTTTGATTTATTATTTATATTGAGTGGCATTTTTTGATTATCAACTCAATATTGAACCCTACGGACTATGACTGGGATGCCATTAAAGTTCATATGCGTGTAAAGGCAGGCATCCCAATACTTTTGGCAATATAGTGTAACTCCTATCTTTCTAATGATTAGTGGTTCCAATGATAACTACTGCAGTAGGGAATAGACACAAAAAGATACACTCTGCATCTTTCCAAATACCTGCTCTGTTTATTCAGTGCAATTTAAATTTTTTTGTACACACGCTTATGTATGTATCAAATGAATATTACAAGTGTACTTTTATTGTAAAAAGGGGAGCTACATAGGCATGCTAATGTAAAATCAGGACTCAAAAGAATGCAAACATAATCAAACGTTATTAGTGCACAGTGTTCAATACATAGGCAAATCATACAAAATAGATTACAGTTTTATACATAATTTACAATTTCTTTTACAGTGGTTTTATCATGACTCAAGAACAGCAGCTGTTGATTGAACCTTTGAAGACAGAGAGTGGTGCACATGCTGTGTATACTTATCAAGCCCAGGAGGTTCCCAAAACCTGTGGTGTGGACCATACCATGTACAATGATTCCATACAGACCAAGATATTATTTTCCACAAGCAATGATGAGGTAGGAAACATACTATATGCTCTACATTCATAAGGCAAAACTGATAATAGAATGCATCTTTCATTCACTAAACTAGAAAAACTGAACTCTATTTGGTGGCTCATTCATCACCACACAGTCAAGTTATAGAGTTCTGACATGACAGTGATTTAGTGAAAGTAAAGATTTTATCTTTTTTATTCACAAGCTTTATAATATCTGCATAGACTCATAGGATGGATCTCATGGCTTGGCCATAAATGGGCCCTTTACTGCCTCCAAGAGCCATAATCCATGTCACATTGGAGTAAGGGTTCAGGAGCAAAAGGACTTCCTTGGGGAACAATATCTGATAACTGGTGTCATTACCATTCATTACGGCTCACAGAAACTTTCCAGCTTAATGGCAGTAGGCTGAACTTTCTTAGTTCTGAATGAGAAAAAAGAAGTGCCAGTCCCATTTATTTTAGGTAGGCTGCCTGGTATAAAAATAGGAGCATGTCCCAGTGCTACACAGGATGGGTGGATATATCTTGATTGGTGTTTGTAGGAAGATATCTGCCTGTCTATTGCCAGCATTTGATCTGTGCTTATTCCAGTAAAATTACTTATTAGACTTGTTTTACACTTCTGAATCATCGACTACACTTTAATGACTATACTTTCTCTTTTACAGAAAAATGCATTCCTCAAGTCAAGAAAATACATTGAGCTGTATATGGTTGCTGATAATTCCATGGTAAGATAACAATATATAGTAAATTATACTTATCTACTACTAATTGCACAGGGAATGCACTACGCAAATATTGCATAGGTGGTATATAAATTAAACTAGTGTAATAATCCCAGAAAAAAATATTTGAAAAATTACTATAAAAGATCTAATGAGAACCTACAGGAAACTGGTTAAGGCTAATGGCACAATTCCACCATTTAGTGCCAAACCATATACTTAAAATAAATTTTCATCAAATACCAGGATGTACATTGCCAAGAGCAAACAGTAAAACTCCAAAAGGTCCCTATTTTACCTCTTTTAGGACCAATCCATCTGTCCCTCAAGAGGAAAGATGGCACACTGAAAATAAAAGCCCCTGTTACGAGTTTATAAATTCAAACGATGCACAGGTCAAACACCTAAACCTCCACCCTATCATCTGTCCCTCACTTCTTCACAGATGTCCCTTTTTTGGATCTGGTGAATAGACCTCTTTAAATCAAATGTGCCTTTTAACTCATCATGTAAATATCAAACATGTTATATTACCTTAAACATTTCATCCAACCCCTAAATTATTGCTCCTGTTATTTTTAAAAGCCAGCACAAAAATACTTAGTGATTGAAAAAAAGCAATATTTTTAATAATATTTTGTGTATCAGTTCATTAAAGTCCACATAACTAGGAGTATGGTAGAAGTGTGTCCTTTGCTTCCATACATTTATAGAACTGGTGTCCCTCTTTCTAGCCTTGGAATTGTTGGAGGCATGAAGTAGGTTCAGATACAAATTGGCTGGCATATTAGAAGTACAATTCCTAAAAAGAGAAAACACTTGAATAGCAGAGCACTTTAAAATTGAACAGGATAACTCCCTGCAAGTTTTGCAATAGTAAGTATCTACCATCTAGATTTAATTCTTTGCATAGGTGACTAAGATAGGATTCTTAAAAGGAGACATGAGGATTTATGTATTAAATGCTTGTCCAGAATGATCTCAATAAGGAATTTGTTTTCTAGTATTCTGAAATGTCCAGGCTTTATCCACGTTTCCCCCAAATGTACTTCTCTCTTTGTAGGACATGTCCTCCCATTGCTTGTTCCTGTAATGGGAAACAGCTTTATTTACCCCTGGGAACATTATTACCAGGATTGTAAAATGCTTGCAGGGGCAGCTGCTGGGAACTCAGGTACTACTGATATAGAGATGCCAGTGGACATTTAGGAGTCAGTGAGACAGTGCAGTGAGACAGTGAGGGATAGAGAGAGATGGGGATAGGTGGAGTTTTGTAGATCAACAGCCCGGGCTAACAAAGCTGATTAGGATTTCAGTATAGAAAAGGCACTGTGTTGTCAGCCTAAACAGGAGCACACTGGACTTCTGGCAGATTATCAGGTATTTTTCTATTCTTGTAAGATTATTAATAAAAAAACATGAGGAAATATGCATGTATTGGAGAGATGCAAAATTTTTTGTCCTTTCATACGCTTTAGGTTCTCTCTAAGGTGATTGTTCAAAAAGATGTTGTTGTGAATGAGATTTGATTTCATATTTCCTTGTACCTACATACTTGATACCATGGTATTGAAAAAGCAGTGGATTTTACAATCAACAAACTTTTACTGGTGGTGAATAAGTTACTATATATTAAAACACATTCACCAGAAGGACACCTGCACTGTGATAGGGACAACTTTAAAAGGGAATAATGTAGTACACCACTGGTGCAAGCAGCAGCCTTCCCCAGACCAATTCTCTTTCTATCCTAGTGATACTAACTAAATCAGGCTATGAATCACTGTGATGACCCCACAGTGTCCAGTGGGACAAATGGTTGCTGACTAATCTTCAGGCAAGGTAACAACCTCATCTCTTGCCATTCATACATATAGCCATCTAAGACAAGGTTCCTAAATTTTATGATAATGCTTCAGTTTTTATGTGTATTGGGCTAGCTGACCACAGAACAAATTTCTGGCAACTGATAATGAGAGCTCCATAGACCACGGGTGAAGAAAGGAAAAGTGTTGCCAATAACAATAAATCCGATTTCAGATGTCATTTCTCTCCAGTTTTTATAGTTTGACACAACAATGCCTGAGAAAATGTTAGCACCACTAATGCATGACATTGTTTCTTCTAGTATATCAAGTACAATCGTAGCAAAAGAGAGCTACGGGAACGAATATTTGGAATTGTTAATTTTGTTAACTTGGTAAGTAGCTGCACAATCAAGAAATCCTTATCCTTGTAACAGCTAATGTGGGCTGGCTGATTTGTAATCTCCCGCCACAGTGGTCTTCCTAGAATGTACAATGGAAGAAACTGCAACACCAATTAATATTATCAGGATATTTGTCTAGTTTGAGATATCATATTAAATGCTTTTTACAAGTTATACCAAATGTATGTTCGATTTGTAAAGTTGTTGTTTTTTTTACACTGAATCCGAACTCTAGAGCTTTTTGTTTTTGATAGTAAAAAAGAGTTAACAATTGTGTTCTTATTTATGTTGTAATTTCTGTTTTATGCATAGATTTTCTCATGCTTTCTGTTCGTACAACACCCATACAAGAAATTGAGGGTATGGTTGTCAAAGAGATAGAATGACAAAAACTGCTAATAAAACATTATCAGAGAGGTTTCCCACCACTTCACGTCCTCACAGGTGGTGATGGGCAATATCCCCAGTAGGGACACAGACAGCAAGAAAATTTAACAGAGGCTCTACCCCCCTCACCCTATTCCATCCATAAAAAAGTAAAATATGATGACTGGATTGTGACTTTAGAAATACATTTTTGGGCTTAAAGGTACCCATGCGCAAGGGATTCTATACATTTAATCAGGAATATCATAGAGATTGTCCATGTTTGTGAACACCATGTGACCATCAAACCCATCCTTCTCCAAAACCATGGATGTTAGTAAGGAGTTACCACCTTCACATTTCTCCATTTTCAGCTATAACAGTCTCCACTTTTCTTTAAAGGATTTCCACAAAACTTCAAAGTGTGTCTGTTGGTATTTGTGCCCATTCACGCAAAAAAAAAATTTATGAGACTAAGTACTGGTTGTGAATGCGAAGACGAGGCTCACAAAAAGTAATTCCAGTTCATCCCCATGATGTTCAGTAAGGTTGAGGTCAGAGCTCTGTGCAGGTTATTCAAGTTTCTTCAAGTCAGACCAGGGACGCACTGCCAACTCATGGGGCCCCTGGACAATAGGGGATCATGGGGCCCCTGTGTCCTCACCCACACTCAAACCACTCCCAAAAAAGCCTATGAAAGGTACCAGGGGCATCTCATGGGGCCCCCTACTGACCCTGGGCCCTCGGGCAGTGCCCGAGTGTTCGAATGGTCAGTCCACCCCTGAGTCAGACTTACAGTATCAAACCATGTCTTTATGGAGCTGGCTTTGTAAATAGGAGTACAGCTAAGCTGAGACAGAAAAGGGTCATCCTCAAACTGTTGCCACAAGGTTAGAAGCACTCAGTTCTCTAAAATATATTTGTTTGCTGAGGTTTAAGTACCCTTCTTTGGAAACTCCTGAATAATTTAGGAGGATATCCACATATTGCTGGTCATATAGTGTATCTTACAGTATATTTTGTCATTTTCAGGTATACAAACCCTTAAATATTTTTGTGGCTCTGACTGGAATTGAGATCTGGGATACCAGAGACCAATTTCAAGTTGTCTCTTCGGCTAACACCAATCTCAATCGGTTTTCTGAATGGAGGAAACGATATTTACTGCCCAGGAAACCCAATGACAATGCTCAGTTTCTGACGTAAGTATACCAATTGTGGCCTGCTGTATTTAGCATAGACAAAGGCAGATGTTAATTAGGCGAAAAGATGTGTAATTGCACAGCAAAACTCATTAACCTGAATGACGAATGACCTGAAATACAGTATATCCTGCACTGTTTGTACTTATAATCTATTTCTTCAAATTGTTTATGGATGCAGGGCTGCTGTGAATAAATGCTCTTGCTTAAGATATGAGGCTTCCTTTATAGAGTTTGTCTTACCATAGTTTTCTACTAAACTTTTCATTGTAACTAAATGCAACTTATTGTTTTGTGGTGCCAGCTGCCATCTAGGCTAGGGTTTCTCAACCAGGGTTCAATGGAACCCTAGGGTTCTTCCAGGGGTTTTCTAGAGATTCCTTGAGCAGTGAGCAATTTCTGCCTCTCAGATAAGGTTCCACTGACACATTGATATTTTTAGGTATCTGTAAAGGAGTAATTCTTTCCAATGACCACAACTGTAAGGAGCATTATTCCCAATGATCATGGGACTAATGTTTAATGAGTTGGAGATTCAGTAGTTTTTATCAGGGGTTCCCTGAGACTGGAGAGTTATTTCAAGGTTTCCTTTGTGTTGAAAAGCTTGAGAAAGGCTGATCTAGGCTAAGTAGAGTCTCAGCCAGAAAAAAAGCTGAACCACATTCTTAATTAAAGATGCACAAAATGTTAAAGCAGTCTTAACGTACACAAGACACAATTAAATGATGTTGCCTGCTATTACTGACCTTTTTAGAATGTTCTGACTTTTGAGAATGTTTGTTCCCTGGTTTTCATGCTGATGGTAACCCTTCAGTGCTATCTGAGTCACTGACCTGAAACAAGTATAGAAAATTCTGGCACTTATGTATAGTATGCCTGTTCCAGGTCTCCAGAGTACTGCAGCCAGACACAGCCAGGCAGCTAGCATTTTCAACTTGTGAATGCCACCACAGAGGTACACAACAGGATTTCCCCTCTTGCTTACTATAGCTAGTCCATCTCACAATCCCTTGCAAGCCCAAGCTGTAGCCTAACATCCCTCAACACAATTCCCTGTATTACAGATGTTTTTCTATTTTTTCTTTACATCTATGAGTGTGCAGTCTTGCAGAAATTCTGCATTCGAGGAACATGTCATATGTGCACAAACCATCGGCACATACCACAGTATGCTGTGGCTGGATCTCCATTAATTATCAAGAACCAGCCAGCATGGTTTCCAGTCATGAGATGATTATGTCACATACAGTGGGGCAAAAAAGTATTTAGACAGCCACCAATTGTGCAAGTTCTCCCACTTAAATAATGAGAGAGGCCTGTAATTGGCATCATAGGTAGACCTCAACTATGAGAGACAAAATGAGAAAAAAAATCCAGACAATCACATTGGCTGATTTGAAAAGAATTTATTTGCAAATTATTGTGGAAAATAAGTATTTGGTCAATATCAAAAGTTCATCTCAATACTTTGTTATATATCCTTTGTTGGCAATGACAGAGGTCAAACGTTTCCTGTAAGTCTTCACAAGGTTGGCACACACTGTTGCTGGTATGTTGGCCCAATCCTCCATGCAGATCTCCTCTAGAACAGTGATGTTTTGGGGCTGTCACTGGGCAACACGGACTTTCAACTCCCTCCAAAGATTTTCTATGGGGTTGAGATCTGGAGACTGGCTAGGCCACTCCATCACCAAATATTAGAAATATCACGCTTTCTAACCTTTGAAACACTTTTTAGAAGCATTTTCCAAGCAAGGACATCCAAAGCACAGCTCACTCTAGTGACGGGTAGGGTGCCTAATGATGTCAGGTGGACCTGACATGCAGTGATATAAGTTATGTTTTAGACATCTCAGTCTACTATTAAAATGCTGGCCACCATGTTTCTTTTTCAGATACACTGACTTTGATGGTGCTACAGTGGGACTGGCCTGGGTCAGCACTCTGTGCAGTGACACCCACTCCACAGGAGTTATCCAGGTGAGACATGACACAAACTCCTATTGCTGTCTCCATTGGTCAGACTTGTTACATTAACTGTCCAACAGGTATATTTTTCTTACACCCTAAAAGGGAATTCCCTAATACTTAGTCTGTAGGTAGTTTTAACAAATGCGTCACTATAAGACTTATTTCAGCTTATTTCACGATTCACTGCAGACCACACTCTGAAAAGTAATGTGCACTGGATAGCTTTTCAGACTATGGTTGTCAGCCAATTAACAGGCATGCAGGAGGCAGTATTGGTTTTGTGATCCTCATGGGCATTTTTTCTATCCGAGTGGTGATTTTACATTGAACCACCGTAACCACCATAGCTGCCTTTGGCATGCGGTTGTAGTGCAGTCCCATTGCCTTCAGTGGTGGTGCCGTATGTCAAACTCAGCATGCTGAGTTAAAATTGCCACATTGTAAAGCAAAAAATCATGGCAGTGGCAATATGAAAGCACCCTCTTGCCATCATGTAAATTTGGAAGGGGCAAGTCGAGGTGTAAGCAGGTGTAGTTTTGCTTCCCTGCATAGGTGGTGCCGTTCTGGAGCCACCATGCAGAGAGGGAGCGGAGGGCAAGGGGAAGCCATGTTCCTCTATAGGTGTCATCAGGAGAGCAGCTGTCCAATTGGATGCTGCTACCCTGGTTGAGCTCTGGAGCCATCTTTGGTGTGGGCAGTGCTAATCAATAGCACTGTCCTCCTTCGTTTGGCGCACATTCGCGAAGTAGCTAGGTCAGGGACAGAGACCCTGCTGGTCAGGGACAGAGTACTTAGAGTAGGGGGAGGTTGCAGTGGAGGATGAAAAGAGTAGGGACTGTCGCTGTGCCTCAAGTGGGAGCCCTTCCTCATCAAGGTGCCTTGATGTCGATCTTCCTTCTAGCCACCTCCTCTGTCAGATGCTGTCTGGTATCAGCAGTGTGTCCGGGTATCTTCTGCACAGTTTCCAGTAAGTGCTGCCAGGCGGAAACTGTCATGTATACAGACTTTTTACTACTGTCTTGGAACTCTCATCTTAATATACATTTCTGGACCACTTGGCCTCCGTGTGTGTTCTCTCTCCTCTAGCTATTAAGTGCTTGGCCCTGCCTACAGGGGGACAATAAAAAGGTGGACCACCAACCTTTCTACTGCTCCTCTGCCACCAGTGTGAAGCCTTACACCAAGCTTTCTGCTGAATGTAGGAAAGGAAATACTCAAATCACAATTAATTAAAAGGTGATGCTTCCATGTGTACATTGAAATGCTGACTTGATAGCTTTCTATGTTATGTTCTTAGGATCACTCTCAAGAATATATTCCCGTGGGAGCGACTCTTGCTCATGAAATGGGACACAATCTGGGAATGGATCATGATGGCAGTTCATGTTTCTGCAATTCGGAATCCTGTATCATGGCACCTTCCTTAAGGCATGTCTGTTCAAATACAAAATATAAAGAATTTTTTGATTACAGTTTTCTATTGTGGATCGGGGTGGGATTCACTGCCTTGCTATGATTATGTATGCTATCAGGATGATTTCCTCCAACTTTTGGAGTTTGTTAGACACTGATCTCTATGACTATGTGAAAATACCTGCCTATGCAAGCTAACAATAGAAAAATGCCTTACCAATCTCCTTCACTATTATTACAGAAAGAACATGGTTGTCTTGTATGCCTAAAGAGACCCTGTTCTTAAACAGTTTTTATTACTGTGTTCTTCCTACTTACTTTTGCAGCTGGTTTGCCTACTGAAACCATGCCTTATTCATTCTGCAAGATTCCCCTCTGTCTGCTGTTGGGCGCCACCCTCTTGAATCTGATGTCACCAGCTGCTGCGGACATTAGAGCTACCATTCCCATAATTGCACTGGCTGGATGGCAATCAAGACAGAGATTGGATAGCTGACCAAGTGCCAGTTCACACTGCTGTGAATCCTATGCAGATCAAATGTGTTCAGAAAAGCATAGATTCACTATGTCAAAAACATTGTTCCCAATGAGTCCTGTTCACATACGCTATACTGCCAAAAGTATTGGGATGCCTGCCTTTACACGTACATGAACTTTAATCGCATCCCAGTCTTAGTCCGTAGGGTTCAGATGCATTTGTGGAGTCAGGAGTCATTGATGTTGGACGAGAAGGCCTGGCTCACAGTTTCCACTCTAATTTGTCCCAAAGGTGTTATATTGGATTGAGGTCAGGACATGTTGGAACAGGAAGGGACCATCACCAAACTGTGCCCACAAAGTTGGGAGCATGAAATTGTCCAAAATGTCTTGGTATGCTGACGCCTTAAGAGTTTCCTTCACTGGAACTAAGGAGCCAAGCCTTACCCCTGAAAAACAACCCCACACCATAATCCCACCTCTACCAAACTTTACACTAAGCATAATGCAGTCAGGCAAGTGCTATTCTCCTGGCAACCGACAAACCCAGACACGTCCATTAGATTGCCAGACAGAAGCATGATTCGTCACTCCAGAGAGCATGTCTCCACTGCTCTAGATTCCAGTGGTGGCATGTTTTACACCACTGCATCCGATGCTTTACATTGTACTTGGTGATGTAAGGCTTGGATGCAGCTGCTCGGCCATGGAAACCCATTCCATGAAGCTCTCTACGCACTATTGTTGTGCTAATCTGAAGGCCACATGAAGTTTGGAGGTCTTTAGCTATTGACTCTGCAGACAGTTGGCGACTTCTGTGCACTGTGTGCTTCAGCATGCGCTGACCCCACTCTGTCATTTTACGTGGCCTACCACTTTGTGGCTGAGTTGATGTTGTTCCCAGTTGCTTCCACTTTGTTATATATACCACTAACAGTTGACCGTGAAATATTTAGTAGCAAGGAGATTTCACCGATTGACTTACTGCACAGGTATCACGGTACCACGCTTAAATTCACTGAGCTCCTGAGAGCAAACCATTCTTTCACAAATGTTTGTAGAAGCAGTCTGCATGCCTAGGTGCTTGATTTTATCCACCTGTGGCCATGGAGGTTATTGGAACACCTAAATTCAATGATTTGGAGGGGTGTCCCAATAATTTTTGCAATATAGTGTGTATGAGGTGCAAATCTGATCCAGTTGAAAAAAGGGTCATGTGCGTGTTTAGTGTGAGTGTGGTGCTAATTTCATCTCCTGCTATGCCCATTCCCCTCAGAAATCGCATTCAATTTTCACCTGTCACAGCAGAAATTGCACTGTGATACTGCACTGTGAAACAGCATTAGATTCGCACTGCATCAGTGTGAACCGGCACTGAGGGACAGTGAAAGGCATTATGTGGGCTCAACAATGTGTTACATAGTTTTTAGTGCAACTGAGCAAGATATAGTGGGAAGGAGATAAAAGACCTTGAGTGATGGACCATTAGAGGAGATCAAAGGAAGCATGTAGAATGAATGTTAGGGAGAAGAAGAAGATAGACAGTATACAGATTACAGATATTGGGACATACTGATTACAACACTGTGTAATTCTTGACAAGCACACTTGTGTGGAACACTAAAGACCTCTTTTATACGGGCAGCAGAGGGGCATTTTTGTGCATTGCAGATAAGCATGTGATTTTGCTTGCATCCCCGCAATGCACAAGTGTGAACATAGCCTAACTTTATACATTACTAATCCGTCTTTCTTGTTAACAGTTTTCACTGTATAATGTACATCTGTTCCTCTTCCTCATACAGTTATAAAACTCCACAAGAATTTAGCTTCTGCAGTCACCAGAACTATCAGGAATTTATCCTGAAAAAAAATGCCGCTCTGTATGAAGAACATGCCAGACAAAACTGAGATTGTGAGCACTGCAGATTGTGGAAACCGATTCACAGAAGTGGGAGAGGAATGTGACTGTGGTACAGAGGAGGTACTCACATTTTCTATACATATTTTTATACATATGCTCTATTAATGTCACAGATCGAGCCAGACACACCTGACACTGAGCTAACCTGGTACACACAATTGTCTATTTAAAGCTGAGCTCCAGGCACGTAAACGTTCATTGATATATATTCCTCAGTAGCCACAGCATATACAGTTGCAAGAAAAAGTATGTGAACCCCTTGGGATTACGTGGAGTTTTGCATGAATTGGGCATAAAATGTGCTCTGAACGTCATCTAAGTCACAACAATAGAAGAACACAGTCTGCTGAACATAATACTACACAAACATTAGATGTTGCCATGGTTTAATTGCACATAACATGTAAACATTCACAGTGCAGGGTGGAAAAAGTATGTGAGGCCCTAGCTTAATGACTTCTCCCAGAGCTAATTGGAGCCAGGAGTGAGCCAACCTTGACTCCAATCAGTGTGATGATATTGGATGTGTTGCTGACAGCTGTCCTGCCCTTAAAAAACACACACCTGTTTTGGGTTTACTGGTTTCAAGAAGCACTGTCTGATGTGAACCATGCCTCGCAGAAAAGAGCTCTCAGAAGACCTACGATCAAGAATTGTTGACTTGCATGAAGCTGGAAAGGGTTACAAAAGTATCTCCAAAAGCCTTGATGTTCATGTGTCCACGGTAAGACAGACTGTCTACAAATGGAGAAAGTTTAGCACTGTTGCTACTCTCCCTAGGCGTGGTCATCCTGTAAAAATGACTGTAAGAGCACAGCGCAGAATGCTGCATGAGGTAAAGAAGAATCCCAGAGTGTCAGCTAAAGACCTACAGAAATCTCTGGCACATGCTAACATTTTTGTTGACACATCTACAATAAGGAAAACATTAAACAAGAATGGAGTACATGGGAGGACACCACGGAGGAAGCCATTGCTGTCCAAAAAGAAGATTGCAGCACGTTTGAAGTTTGCAAAAGAGCACCTGGATGTTCCACAGCGCTACTGGCACAATATACTGTGGACAGATGAAACCAAGATTGAGTTGTTTGGGAAGAACACACAATATGTGTGGAGAAAAAAAAAGGCACAGCACACCAACATCAAAACCTCATCCCCACTGTAAAACATGGCGGAGGGAGCATCATGGTTTGGGGCTGCTTTGTTGCCTCAGGGCCTGGACAGATTGTTGTCATTGATGGGAAAATGAATTCCAGAGTTTATCAAGACATTTTGCAGGAAAACGTACGACCATCTGTCCGCCAACTGAAGCTCCGCAGAGGATGGGTGATGCAACAGGACAATGACCCAAAGCATACAAGTAATTCAACAAAACAATGGCTGCAACAGCACAGAATATGCCTTCTGGAGCTGCCCAGTCAGAGTCCTGACCTCAACCCGATTGAAATGCTGTGGCATGACCTTAAGAGAGCGATTCACACCAGACATCCCAAGAATATTGCTACACTGAAACAGTTTTGTGAAGAGGAGTGGTCCAAAATTACTCCAGATCGTTGTGCAGGTCTGATCTGCAACTACAGGAAACGTTTGGTTGAGGTTATTGCTGCCAAAGGAGGGTCAACCAGTTATTAAGTCCAAAGGTTCACATACTTTTTCCTCCCTGCACTGTTAATGTTTACATGTTATGTGCAATTAAACCATGGCAACATCTAATGTTTGTGTAGTATTATGTTCAGCAGACTGTGTTCTTCTATTGTTGTGACTTAGATGACATTCAGAGCACATTTTATGCCCAATTCATGCAAAACTCCACGTAATCCCAAGGGGTTCACATACTTTTTCTTGCAACTGTATAAATCCACTTTATGTGCCATAAATGCTATTGAAAACCCAGTTATTGCTTTGTAAGAGTATCCGTGACACCATAGCTGCACTGTGCATAGCCTGCGCAGACAGCAGAGCTGTGGGAGAGGCCCAATAAGTCCTACCCAGTACAGGCTGCTACAGAAAACTACAGGAGGGGATGGAGACAAGACCAATCACTCTGCACAAAAAAAGAGAGCAGCAGAGACCAGTCTTTACTACAGGAAATTCATGCACAGAGACAAAGTCTCACACCAGATTACTGCACAGATCTAGAAGAAATACACAAAGAACACCAAGAAATTATATGCATCTTGTATTTATACAATATTTAATTATTCTGAAGTTCAGTTTTAGGGTAATTGACCATATAACAGTTCTAGTACGCAAACCCCAAAATATATTAGTGTCTGTAACTCTGTTGTCCTGAGATTAAATATGCAATGAGTATATTCAGCAATCCACATCTGCCTACAGGAATGTACCAGCAACTGCTGTGATGCCAAAACCTGCAAACTCAAAAACAACGCTCAGTGTGCAGAGGGAGAGTGCTGCTCTAATTGTCAGGTGAGTGCTGTAGGCAATAATGAAACAGTTACTGCATCTAAAACTAGTATATGGGAGTTTAATAGATGTTGAAAAGTTACAACATCTAATGGATTCTTGTATTCTCAAGGGCTCTCAGAGTTTCCAATGTTGAGATCTCAGTACTTGAGTTCCTGGGTTCATACTGTTGCCATTATAAAGAGATCCCACTCTTCCTGTTGGAATTTTCACTTCTATTATATTATGGAAAATGCAACGGCAGGAGTGGGGGACACCCCAAGATGGTGAGAACATCCAAGACTCCCAGTTTGTCAGTTACAGAGAAGATGGAGAAGCCCTCTGTTGACATCCTCAAGAGATAAAGAAGTCAGTGGGTGACTTGGCCCACCACACACTAACTGTAATTGAAATATCGCTTACAGATTTGGATAGAATAAGGATGTTAGGTTGAAATTTGTCCCAGTAGGTGAGATTTTCCCTTACTCCTTCTAATGAAGACATGGCAAAAAGTATGAACAATCTCATACAGTTGCCCCCACTGGGAGATTCACTCTCTGCTACTATTCCTTTAACAGCCATAAGGACCTATTTACATCTTTGTACTTAAGGGGTGTTGTGTCGCACATTCATTTGCTTTGCGTAAAGGAGGCCATTCATTTCAGTTGGCTGTCTAATTCTCCAAAAAAGGTGCTTGCAGCATTTTTGTCAGTGCATTGCATGTCCACTGGTATGGTGCATTGGGGTGACATTTGGAATGATTCGCATTGCTGCATTGCATATTCCGCATTGGTACGCTGTAGTAAAGTGCACAAAAAAAAAATTAATAATTCACCATAAAGGCATTACTAATTATTAACTGATGCATGCACTAACAGTGATTCACATTGCTGCATTGCAGTGAAGCCCACTGTGCACTGTATGTTATGTACTTTGGTGCACTACAGTGCCTTTCAGAATGAATGGAACCACAGCACACGAATGCGGGTAATGAATATTGTGTAATGTTCTCTGCATTGCTATGCAGCACAAATAATCCTCTACATACAACCCAACAATCACTTTTCTGAGGGCAACACTTGTGTAAATGAGCCCTAAGTCTACCAGCTTTTATTTTAACATTCCTTGATCAGGGTGGCTAAAATACTGGAGTGAAATGCCAATAGCACCTAGGGGGATGTACAAATGTGTATGTAATAGAGTAATGAAAATATGGTGCAGTGAGCATGTAAAATGTAAGCAAAATATAATGAAAACTAGGTGATTGTTGCACTTTATCTTTTAGCTGAAGACTGCAGGATCTGTGTGCAGAGCCTCTAAAGATGACTGCGACTTAACGGAGATGTGTGATGGGAAGTCTGCCATGTGTCCTTCTGACCGCTTCCGGGTCAATGGATTTCCCTGCACAAATGGTGGAGGACACTGCTACAACGGCAGATGTCCCACTCTCCAAAGTCAATGTCTAATGCATTGGGGTCAAGGTAAGCAGGAAGCAACCAACCAACTTCTGCTTGTACACACAGACAGGAGGAGAGGGCAGAGTGAGCAGAGTTGATGACATATCACTGTGTTGCTACTTCTTGCTCAATGTCCAATCAGCAGGCTGCAGGTGGGGAGATGACTATTCCTAAAAGTGGAATTTAAGCCCAAAACTTCATTTTTATTTTACAGTGATGGAGGAGTAAAATCTCTATTGTTTTACTGCTAAAGATGACATCTGGGTCTTTTGGACCCAGACCTCAACCAAACACAATTATTTTTTTGTTATATGTGGATGTACACCAATCAGACATAACATTATGACCACGGACAGATAAAGTGAATAATATTGATTATCTCTTTACAATGGCTCCTGATAGTGGGTGGAAGCAGCAAGTGAGCATGTTGTTCCCAAAATTGATGTGTTGAAAGCAGACAAAGTGGGCAAGTGTAAAGAGTTGAGTGACTTTGACAAGGACCAACTTGTAATGGCTAGACAACTGGGTCACATCAACTCCAAAACTGTAGCTCTTGTGGGATGTTTCCAGTTTGCAGTGGTCAGGACCTACCTAAAGTGATCCAATGAAGGAAAAGTACTTAACTGAGACAGCGTCATGGGCGGACAAGAATCAATGATGCGCGTGGGGAGCGAAGGCTGGCTTGTTTAATCCGATCCAATAGAAGAGCTACTGTAGCTCAGATTACTGAAAATATTAATGCTGGTTCCGATAGAAGGTGTCTGTGCACACAGAGCATTGGTTGTTGTTGAGTATGGGGCTGCATAGTCGTAGATCAGTCAGGACGCATTTGCTGACCCATGTGCAAAGCCAAATGCACCTACAATGGGCATGTGATTATCAGAACCGGTCCCAGGAGCAATGGAAGAAGGTGGCCTAGTCTATTAAATCATTTTTTTTCTTTAACATGAGGTAGATGTCTGGGTGTGTGTGGGACCTGGGGAAGAGATGTATTATGTGAAGAAGGCAAGCCAGCAGAGACTGTGTGATGCTTTGTCTAGTGGTGGCCATGCCTCGATTAGTCATGGCTTTTTGGTGGCAAAAGGGGATCTACTCAATATTAGGTTGATGGTCATAATGTGATGGTGGGTGGAAATAATGGTACGGCTGATCAGTGTATTTGTATAGGTATGATGGTGGGAATGGCACTGATAGATATTTTTGTATGCCTTTTCGAGTGCTCTAGTTATATGGCCTGGAATCACTGCTAGCGACAGCCAAGATATGCAAAGAGACTAGGGGAAGAAGAGGAGGCTCAATAGAAAGGATTGGGTAGAATTGTGCTGCAACAGTTCAATCTAGGTGCCCAGGGATGCCCCAGGTCTTTTAGGATGTTATCAACTCTCCTGCTGGTAGGAAAAGATTGGGCTTTTTAGTTGCTACTTTATGTTGTATAGTTTTACAGCATTTGCTAAAGATGTCTGCTCACTGGCAGTAGACAGCTCCAGCTGATGTTCTGCACATACTACAGTGTATAAGTGATTTTTGTATAAGTGATATATATATATTCATCTGTTACACTAGGTTATGTTGCTGGGTCAGATTCCTGCTTTGCATTAAACACAAGAGGCAACCCCGGGTTTTGCCGTCAGTCTGGAGTCAATGTCGTGTGCCCGGCCAGAGTGAGTGCATGTCAGAGTCAATGATCAGATATGTTATGCATATGTGATCCCCATCAATATCTAACTGCATCCTCTATGTAAACAGGGATGTAAAGTGCGGAGTGTTGTTCTGCTCTAGAAGCAGCTCTCGTCCATCTAATTCGGATTGTAATATCCTGAACCCACAAGTGCTGGTGGAAGATGGAACACGCTGTGCAAATGAAAGTGTGAGTATCCCCAAGCATGCAGGGTGACTATTGCCATACATTCAGTTTACAAGGTTTTCATATATATAGGAAAATCTAAAAATGACAGTTTTTGAATATCCGTAATTTCCAGAAAGGTATGTGATGGGGGGGGGAGGGTCAAGCGATGACTAAAAATTACAAAAAGAAGTGAAAGAAACACAAAGACAAAAGCTGTATTTTGTTGCAAATTGGCAAGTTTGTCAAAATTCATCAATCATCCCTATAAATAACTGAAAGGCATACTTAAATACGCACAAGTACACATTGGACAGGACATCAAAGAACACAAATTAGGTGAACCAACAACAGACCAGGAGATCAAAATGAGTAGAAAGATAAAGGTAAGTGGGACAAGAAAGATATGTACAAATGAATCCAGGAAACACATTACAGGTGTGAAATACGCAGCTCTGGTCATGGGATTTCATTCTTTTATATGTTATTATCCAAAGAATAGATTGTGAGCCACACCTGGAAAAAAAGAAGTTTTACCTACAAATAGGGAAAGGCTTATTTACAATAAGTATAATAAATATGTTGTAGATTTCCATAGGAGTTGGTTTTAGACAACTCAGTACATTGTTTAAAAAAGGGCTGGGCGTGTACCTAAATGCACAATATATAACAGGGTATTAATATTTGTAATAAATAATGGTGTATATTATTGATCCAGACAGTATCCAATTTTCTTAGAGGATCAGGAAGGGGTTTTTTTTGCTTTTAGAGCAAATTGGACCATGTATTTTAAAAGATGTCTTTTCTCTTCTGGATCATCTGACGGGTAAGGTTCCATAAATGAAGGTTTTTAATGTAGTATTTTTTTTTTGCTTGAACATGATGGATAGGTGGTATCAAAAGGTTTCAAGACTAGTTTTGTAACACACCAACAGATGGCACACACAGTCACAGGGAGCACCCACCTTCATATGTCAGTGTGCCAAAAGACATCGTCCTGTGTACATCGGGAGCTGTGCAACTGGTACTATTCTGACCACGTGCATTACTACGTCTGCTCTTTCATCATGGACAGCATGTTAGAACAAAAAGCAAATGTGAAATTCTGTGTGAAACTGGGCAAATCTGCCAAAGGGATATTTGACATGATTCGTCAAGTTTCCGGCGATGCTGCAATGAGTCGTTTAACCTTTCTGGCGATATTCCCGAGTATAGCTTGGGGTAAAGTTTCAGTACCAAAAGCGGTAACCCCGAGCTACACTTGGGCTTACCATGCAGCGTTGCATAGGGAGTCCCTGCAGCGCTTACCTTGTCCTTCGTCCCGCGATGCGTCCCCTGCAGTGTCCCCGGCCATCTCCTCCGGCCGATGCTGGCATCCGGCTTCCGTGTTCCGGTCCCTGTGACGTCGGGATGTACGGCAAATTTCAAAATTTTTAAAAAAAATTTCATTTTTTTTAAACATGATTATTACATAGTAAAACACTGCTGTTTCAAAGCATTTCACATACATTTTGTCCCTACTGCTTTGTCCTGTCCCCTGCCTGCATTTTGACTGTTCTTTCTGCCTGGAAACTTAGAAAAGTCCATGGCGTCCAAAAAGCGTCCCTTTATTTCAAATACGGTTTTAGACCAGCTAGAGAACAGCGATAGTAAATCAGAACCACTTGCAGAATTGAGTGATAATGATTTGTGGGGAAATTCGTCATCAGACACTGAAAACGATTCTGCGACTTTGCTCGAACTTTGTGCAAACTTGGCGCTATATTTCAAATTTCAGTGTTTTTGGTTTGATTTTATTATTTAATTAAATGTATTATTATTATATTATTATTTTTTATGATTATTTATTAAATTATAATTTATGATTTTGCGTTTCAAGTTTTATCCTACCCGGGATGTTTACTAGACTCTTGTTCGGACAGATTTCAGTGAGTTATTCCTAAATTACAGGCCTACAAAAAAAAAAAAATACATATTTCCATGCAAAAAAAATGGTACCGCTTTCAGCACCAAAAATCTGAAATAATCATACCGCTAGGGAGGTTAAGGTGTTTTGAGTGGCATGTGCGCTTCAAGAGAGCAGGAACATCACTGTAAGAAGAGGAGAGATCAAGAAGACCTTCAACAAGCTCAACCCCCGAAAATGCCCTCTTCCCAAGGAAAAAGATCCAGCTTATAGATCGCCGTTTTGACAACAATGCGGCAATCCAGTGATTTGTCTAGTTTCACACAGAATTTCACCTTTGCTCTTTGTTGTAACTTGCTGTCCATGATGAAAAAGCAGATCTGGTAACACGTGGTCAGAATAGCACCAGTTGCATAGCTCCCAATGTACACAGGACAATGTCTTTTAGCACACTGACTTGTGAAGTTCGGTGTTCCCAGTGACTGTGCATGCAGCCTTGGTCTGCCATCTGTTGGCGTGTAACAAAACTAGTTTCAAAACACTTTGATACCACCTCATACATCTTTTTTCATGCATCCAATGAATTGTGTTAAAAGTAAAGTTTATAATTAACGAAGCCTGTAAAGTTTTTCTTGGCTATTTGATTAATACCTGCTGATCCTGCCACTTTATTTTGGTTTCTATTTCAAGCTGACCATGCTAGGCACAAACAATTCCGTCCTAGTGTGGTCAGTTTTTGGATCTTCTCCTGACTTAGGAGCTACAGAATACCGTGCCTATGCATGGCGATCCTGTAGCCCTGTAGACAGATTCAGATACCATGTCCCCATCTAGCCCTCCACAGTTTGATTGACAGATGCAGGAGCTGTGCTGTCAACTGAGCAGATTAAAGTTTTCTATGGAGCTCTTTGTATGATGTTGGTGGGAGCTATCAATCGTCTTCTTCAGGCTAGACCCCCAGCCCTTCATGCTTTGGGAGATGAGGGGGATGAACTGTTACATGACTGCAGAAAAAACTATTGAAAAATATGTAAAAGCTAATTAATTTTTTTAATGAACTTGAGATCATGGTGTCAATAGTGCTTAGTGTGTGCTTTGCTCATACTTTCCATTCACATACTCTTTAAGGTCTTTGAGAATTAGTTACTTTACAGTGCAAGCAGCTACTAAGGTCAGGGATTGGTTGTTTGAAAACCACTTGCTGAATGTAGATAGCCAAATGACGGCTTTACTGCAGCCAGCCAGTTCTGGCAGGGCGTCATATGACGTCCTCCCAGAAAGTGCCCTCCCCCGCGTGCCACCAGGGGCGGCACGCACCCGGCGATCTCCATGATCGCTGTGTCCTAAGGACACAGATGATCATGTGTGGTGGTAAAAGGCCAATCACAGCGGCCTTTTGCCACTTGATCAGCCGTGTCCAATGACACAGCAGATCACTGGTAAATGCAGTTGCCGGTTATCGGCTGCACTTTCCTCACGCTGTCACAGCATGAGGAAAGTACTACCGATAACCGGCAATTGTCAGAGGAGGGATCGGCACTGATCATCAGGACACTGATGATCAGTGCCCTGATGATCGGTGCCCAGCAATGCCACCCACCAGTGCTGCCCATCTGTGCCCAGAAGTGCCGCCTACCTGTGCCCAGCATTTGCCACTCACCTGTGCCCATTAATGCTGCCCATTAGTGCCACCCACCTATGCCCAGCAGTGCTACACATCAGTGCCCAGCAGTGCCACCAATCAGTGTAGCCCAGCAGTGCTACCCAGCAGTGCCACCCATCAGTGCCCAACAGTGCCGTCAGTCAATGCTTAGCAGTGCTGCCAGTCAGTGCCACCCATCAGTGCCAATCAGTGCTGCCTATCAGTGCCCATCATTGTTGCATATCAGTGCCAGCCTCTATCAGTGCCACCTATCAGTGCCCATCACTATTGCATATCAGTGCCAGCTCATGAGTGCTACCTATCAGTGCCATGTCATCAGTGCTGCCTATCAGTGCACATCAGTGCCGCCTATCAGTGCCCATCAGTGCTGGCTATCCGTGCAGCCTCATCAACGCACATCAGTGAAGGAGAAAAAGTACCTGTTTGCAAAATGTTATACTAGAAACAAAGAAAAAAATTTTATTTGCAAAATTTTTGTTCTTTTTTTGCTTATAGTGCAAAAAATAAAACAGAGGCAAGTAAATACCACCAAAAGAAAGTTCTATTTTTGTTAATAAAATGATAAAAATTTCATATGGGTACAATGTTGCATGACCGCGCAATTGTCACTCAAGGTGCGACAGCGCTAAAAGCTGAAAATTGGCCTGGGCAGGAAGGGGGTATAAGTGCCCGGTAGGCATTAAAGCTATTTTACAGCTTGTTAAAAATATACAAATACATTGACTTCCAAAGTGTGGGCACAGTTGTATTGGAACAGCAAACGTTAGAACTGTAAAATTATGCTCAGTTCTACAAACTACTTATGAGATTATTTATAGTTCAAATTCAGTATGCCAAGTGTCTGTTCACTATTAATCCTCATAGCTTCATAATGACATTTTTTGCTCATTGAATTTCAAATGTTATCTTCCTATCCTTGCTGGTGCATGCAGGTCCCCAGGTTTTATAAACCCCGCAGCATATGATGATCCACATCTGCAGGTGTATGGGGGTGGGTTAAACAGCTTCAGACTAAAACAGTAGTCAGCAACACAAGGGACACTTCTTATTAAATGTAAATACTGTCCTTTGTGCTGTTTTTTGGGGGGGGGTTTTTTTTAAGTTTTAACAAAACTTGGGTTAAACTAAGTTTTTAATAAAATTGTCGATGAAAAAAAAAAAAACATGTCCGAAAAAATCAATATGGTTTTTAATCTGCATTTGAGCATAAACTAACCACTATGATAGTTGTACTCTTCTCTAATGCCTTATAGTTGTGTCCTGAATAGCAAAGAGCTATTTGTATATCATATGACACAAAATATCACTGAATGTATTACCCAATGAAAAAATTATTATACATACTACCTTTATGTAAATGATAGTACAATAAATAATTGTTGTAATTAGGCCATTACAGATATTCATATTCAGCTTTGGAAACACGTCTGTACAAAATGTTGATTACTCCATTTTTTGATTTTCATTAAAAAGAACTTAAATTGTACACCCCTTGAAGGTTAGGGACTGATGTGGATGTGCAATATATATGTAAAGCACTGCAAAAATTGATGGTGCTATATAAGTACCTGAAATAAATAATAAATAAATAAGTATAACCAGAGCTAGGTACTCCAATTCCCCCTGCCTCCGGAACAATTGAGTACTGTCCATGATACTTTTTTTATTTGCACTAACATACAATTTTGAGGACAAGCTTTCGGGGAATGTCCCCTTCTTCAGGTCTAAGCAGTACTCAAAAAATTACCTCCTAAATTTTTTTATTTGTTTATTCTACTTCATACTGATTACTCTTTTCCAGGTATGTCAAGGTGGAAGATGCATTACTATTGATGATGCTTACAGTTCCAGGGGCTGCTCTGCTAAGTGTCAAAAAAATGCTGTGAGTAATACTTTCAGCAGTAAATCCAATATTAGTTTTTCAATATAAAATGGACAGCTTATGGCATATGCTAATTAATATCTGTTAAAGTGTATGTGTAGTTAAAGTGTATGTGTATGTGAAATTATTGCATTTGCAGAAAAGTACCTACTATTCTTCTGTAATGCACTTGGCTCCTAATTGCCGGTTGTGGGCTGACTGCACAGTGGAGTTACTGCACTGAATTTGAAAAGAGTGCTGTCAACCCTGCTTAGCTGTCCATACCATAGTGGGAAGTATTCTGTACTTCAATGAGACAACTAGGAGGGTTGATTAGAGCAGTGTTTCTCAACCTTTTTTTAATCGAGGCACCCTTTAAGATTATGGACAGTCCCGAGGCAGCCTTTAAAATTATGGACAGTCTTGAGGCACCCCATTTTAGATCATTAAAATGGGACTCGGGCTCTCAGTGACACTGCAGTCTGTGTGCTGGGAGCGCGCTGCGCTCCCAGCACAAAGACAGTTATGTAAATATGCAGCCCCACAGAAAAAAGCCCAGTTGTTTGTTCATATTTGTGTTACGTCGGCGTCAAGGGGTTGAAATGTGGCTTATATGATAGTTCTGACTTCTGGGAAGATCAGTGAGCCAATCACACAAGCAGGAAATGACTTTTCTGGGGGTTTCTGTACATCAATGATGTACAGAGTCTTGTGTATGAATTGTATATGCAATATTATTCTTTTTTATTTGCTTTATTTTTTTCCTCAAAAGTGAACTTATCCTTTGAATGTATAAATATATTTTATTACAATAATGTATGATAGTATGTTGTTGCTATAACTGTTTATATCAATTGAGCCAGAGAGTCTTGTTTTCTGAGGCAGGAATGTGACCTTGAACTGAAATGCCACTGTATGAAAGGCTGGGCGCCCCCCAACTGTGACACCCGTGCCACTCAGATAGGTAAGTAATAGAAGTTGGATGAACCTGAATCCTGCATGTATAGCCTGAGTTTCCTAGATAACCAAGTCTTGTCAGCGTGTCATGAAATACATGAACGAAAAGGTCTAGATTTTGGGTGGGGTGGGGTGTAAGAGCCTTCAAGGGGAATTCCTACCTCACATTATCTTTAAAAATGTCCCCTCCCTCTCCTGCTACCTATGTTGACTAACCTGTGTGAAAAAAATGTATATACTGACTATTTTCAGCCTGCTCCAGTTTGGTCACGTGATCCCCTGTGTAAGTGAGCAGTGGCTGGAGAGGAGAGGACACTCAACAGTGGAAATCCGGGATCCATGACATTACGTGTAGGCTGTCATGTCCCAACCATTATTGGTGCTCCTTCCTCTCCCCTGCAGCCGCTGCTGACACTGCAGTGGAGCCAGAACACATGACTGAACAGGAGCAGGCTGAAATGAGGTATGTATACACCTTTTTAAAACAGGTTGGTCAGTATTGAGAAGGATGGGGGAGGGGACATTTTTAGGTCTAGCTAGTATTAGACAGGAATTCTACTTTCAGGCTTCCCATAAGGAAGAAGGCAAAATAAATAAATACAAGTATCTAAAATCTGGTTTGCTTCTATGGTTACTGCATATTATTATTGCAATTTTCCCTGTTTGTTTTGCACTTTCCTGTTTTTGCATAATAGAATGGTTACGCAATAGCATGGTGGGACATTTCCTTCCCTCATTGCTCCCACTGCTCTGTCACCTGAACTATGTGCTGACTTTATTAATGTCATTGACAGGAAGTAAGAGAACATCTCTCCATAACAGGGGAAACCTCTTCTCAGTTGTCACCCCAGCTGGTTTCTTCTCTACTCCTCAAAAGTTTTGATTTGTAAGCACTGTCAGTACTGGTGGCAACGGTCAAAAGATGGCAATAAAAACATAACGGGGGTTCTAATCCTTCCACATCCTTTCAAAAATTCAAAAATAAAATAAAAGGTTTTGAGCAAGCAAAACAGTAAAGAAATGTTCTTGAAGGGTGAAGGGCCTTTAACCAACCCATCCCTCCTAGATTGTAAGTTCGAAAGAGCAGGGCCCTTGAACCCCTCGTGTTTTGTTTTGTTACTGTATTGTCTCATGTTCTGTCCCCCACTATAATGTACAGCGCTGAGCATACCTTTTAGCGCTATATAAATACTGTATAATAATAATAATAATAATAACTTGGAAGAGGATGGCTGTTAGCGAACACTCTGCGCACTATGGCACTGTTGAATGCCACATAAATATTTGCTCAATCCAGCAAAACATTCATGTCACATTAGAGGAGAGTGAAGGAGGAATCAGGACTTCTAAATGCTCCTAGCACTGTTTATCACAGGGTGGTGGTAGTAGAGATTGGGCCAAAGTTTTCTAACCTATCCAGCTGATTTTTCCCCCTGACGTTGGTTGGCCCACTTGTCTTTTGCAGCAAACATGAATTAAGCCTTATCAAGGACCTTTTCTTCTGCCTTTTGCCCTTCTCTGTTTCCCTGTTACACATTTGCTATAGACACTCACCGGACACTTTATTTGGTACACCTGTTCAATTGCTTGGTAACACAAATTGCTAATCAGCCAATCACATGGCAGCAACTCAATGCATTTAGGCATCTAGCTGTGGTGAAGACAACTTGCTGAAGTTCAAACTGAGCACCAGAATGGGGAAGAAAGGGGAATTAAAATGACTTTGAATGTGGCATGGTTGTTGGTGCCAGACGGGCTGGTCTGCATATTTCAAAAACTGCTGATTTACTGGGATTTTTACGCACAACCATCTCTAGAGTTTACAGAGAATGGTCGAAAAAGAGAAAATATCCAGTGAGTGGCAGTTGTGTGGTTGTCAGAAGTCAGAGGAGAATGGGCAGACTGGTTCGAGATTATAGAAAGGCAACAGTAACTCATGTCAATATGGACCAAAATCTCTGAGAAATTGTAATGCAATGCTGGATGCAATAACTAAAAGCAAGTCATATACACACAATAGACAGGTAATCACACACGTACATTTAACCAGCATTTACACCATTAATTATTCTAAGCATGTGAGAGACCCTCTACCAAATGAACACCTGCCCTAGTACATCATAGAATTCACTTGGCACTCCAAGAAATAACAGAATCCAACTGCAGAATTCTTGCACTGTCAAAACCTCCACTTTTATTATCACATGACACACAGGAGGATATATCTTATAGTCATCACAATTTGCATAATAACACACACCAATAATAATGTGAGCATTACAGCATGAAATAGACACATCTTTTCACAGCATAGAATTAATACATTACCAAAGCTATGGGAAGACGGGAAGGAACAAACCCCACCGGAACCATACTGCATAGGGGTTACAGGGAAGCTGTAAACATGACCAATCATATAGCCCATATAGCCTTGGCAAGAGTCCCAGCGTCAGAGCGTCCTCATCTGCATAGGAAGGCTCCCAATCGTTTACTCTTGAGCTCCTCGCTTTTAAACCTTTTTTCTGGTAACTTTTCTGAAGTGGGCGGGTGTCACACCCACTCTAGGAGGAACTAACAGAAAGTTTCCATGAAGATAACAGAGTCACGCCCAGCCACTACACTGCGTTATCTAATAATATCACACTTTTGCTTCAAAATCAGCTTCTTATCTACCCTAAACTTAAAGATTTCTAACTTCTCAAGCAAGTAGACATCTTTAATTGCACAAACAAGTTCTTATCTGCTTTAAGCAGTCTAATATCTTGTGACTCTGTTCCTTTAGCCTAGAGAAATGATATCAGTCATTTCTCATGCTCCTGGCATCTGGGCAAAGATGATTTATTGTAAAAATTACCCAAGAAACAAAGGGTCCAAGGCCAATGCATTTCATAGGCATTACAGGAATGTTTCCAATACCTTGTTGAATCTATGCCATGAAGAATTAAGGCAGTTCTGAAGGCAAAAGGGAGTCTAACCCGGTACTAGCAAGGTGTACCTAATAAAGTGGCCAGTGAGTGTATATAGAATAAATAAATAAAAGAAAAACTATAATGTTTATTTTTACTTGCCAAATCCTCACCTAGGTAAGGATGACCTCATGGCCTCCTGCTAATGCACACACCTGCTGTGGGTGTCTGCTAGTCCAATGCACACAGACAGTGTGCATATCTAGTTTAAAACTAATAAGGAGATCTGCAGCACAGTACAAACAGGGTTAAGTATAGAAAAACATAACTCCTCAGACCCCTACTAACATTACATAGAAGGATAAAACTAGGTAGGACTTTTCAACAAGTAAAAAGATAATCAAGAATTTTTAAATATTGTTTTTAAGTTATGTGAATGTGAACATGTAACAAATATAAAGAAGGCGCATCACAATTTGGCTGAAAAAATGGAAATGTGATCTATTTTTTGTCCCCGCAGGAGCTGGCTACATTGTGCTCATTGCCATTGTTCTGATAGTTGTTATCCTAATTGTATTGCTTATGCTACATAAGATGTTCCAGAAGAACAAGCAGAGGTATGACTGGCGAAGTACATATTTGTGTGTTTATTTATCTTTATACTATATACTCAGCAACTATTACTATATAATCACATAATGGCTCACTTTTCATTAACTTATTGTGATCAATACTGCTATTAGTAGAGTTAAAGTGGTTATAAGGGTTCTGCTTTTTTTCTTTTCTTTTTTTTTTAAGAACAAATATGTCATACTTACCTGCTCTGTGTAATGGTTTTTTTTCACACAGCAGCCCCAATTCTCCTCTTCTTGGGTACCTTGCCAGTGCTTCTGGCCCCTCCCCTCTGCTGAGTGCCCCCAGAACAAGTTGCTTGCTCTGGGTGCACTTGTATGTGCTCGCTCCCAAGCTGTCTCTGTGTGTCTATGGCTCTCACTGCTGTGTCTCAGCCAATGACGAGGCAGAGACCTAGAGAAGTCTCTTGCACATCACTGGATTGGGATCGGACCCAGGTGAATATTAGGGAGGACTGCGGGGGGAGCTGCACACAGAAGGTTTTTACCTTCATGCATAGAATTTATGAATGCAAAAAATCTTCAGCTTTTACAACCACTTTAACTGAAGTGCTGGAGCACACAAGCCAAATAACTGTGATGGATGAATCTTGCAATCATCATCTGCCGTTGTTATTTGAAGGATGAAATTAGGAATTCAAAGTCAGTTGAGAATTGATTTCATAGTCCCAAATGAATCGCTTCAATACCGGGCACTTTTACTCCCTTCCTGCCCAGGCCAAATTCAGTTTTCAGCGATCTCACACTTTGAATGACAATTGCACGGTCATGCAACACTGTACCCAAACTAAAATTTCATAATTTTGTTCACACAACTAGATCTTTCTTTGGTGGTATTTAATCACCACTGGGGTTTTTATTTTTTGCTAAATTAACAAAAAAAGACTGAAAATTTTGAAAAAAAAAATGTTTCTCGCTGCTCTGAGGCTTTCAGAAGAAAGCCTTGCAGGCAGTGGGTAGATCTGAGGAGTGGTTGATTGCACTCTTGAGGGACCTCAGCCAATCCCCAAAAGAAGGCTTTGCATGGGGCTGGGACTCCATGAAAAAGTGTAAGAGGAGTTGGGTGGAAGAAGGAGTAGGAAGATGTGAGGCTGGAGGAGGAAGGCTGCCAGGAGGCCTAGTGAGATGGGACCTGCCTGTGAGCCTGGAAAGGAGAAAAACTCAGGACACACTGGCCCTCTGTATGGCAGGGAAGGAGCAGCCCAGCTGATAGGCCTGGTAGCAGCAGCCATCCCACAAGCAGTACAGGTGAGTACACCTGCACCCCCTGGGCAGACAGGGGAAGGAGCAGAAGAAATTCTCTAGATTGCTGGTTGAGGAGGAGTTCATCTAGGGTCTGGGGTGGTACAACCAGGAGATGCTGGCTATCACTGCATCAGAGACTGCATCAGAGAAGAGAGAAGCTTATGAATAGTTCAGGAAGTTGTCCTCAGATATCGTTTCCTTTGGGCATCTTATTCCCCCCTTACCCTATCCAAATTCTAATTCCCTCAATAAAATAACAAAACCAACTCTCAAGGACTGGTTTCTTTCTCTGGATAAAAGCATGTGTGAAAAATGCTGAATGACTGGCTGTGCAGGACTAAAGGGGGACCCAAATTCATCAGCAATCCCTAAGAGGGCGGTACTACACATATTTACATTGGTCCAGCTTGGGCCAATGTAAGTAGGCCTATGACATACCCATAGGACAGCTGTGGAAGCTGGAAATCAATGTAGTAATCCTACTACATTGATAACTGCTGTCTTCTGGGTTCCGTGCTGAATGGTTGCCTTGCTGCATAGTAACCACAGGGTATTGCTCGCTCAGCACGATTTGTGATGCCTCGCCCTGGCATAATGAATACACCTGCAATAAGCATGAAAACCATCATGATCCAATTAAAAAGGGGAAACAAGTTTTGTACAATAGCACTTTTTTTTTTTTTACGATATGAATACAGATGGAATAGTTTGGACAGTATAACTAATAAACATACTTTTTGTGTCTCAGGAGAGCTGCAGATGGTAGTTCTGGTGTGGCCAATCCCGCCTTCCGTATTGAAAACCAGAGAAAACAAAATATAAATGGCTATCCCTCAACTCCTCAGGTAAGGTTATCTAGGACATGGCTACCATAAAGACAGGGGGGACTCTTACATTAGGATGAACTCTTCAAGAATCAAATTGACAAATTAACCTCATGTCAGCATCTACAGTAGTTGTCAGGAATCAGAAGCAGAGATGGCCAGATCAGTGTGGCTACGCTCGGGAAGCTGGGACCAGACTGTGTATGCTCTAAGTGAGATTTATTTATAGTGAAACAAAATCCATCCAAACACCAGCAAACATAAAAATATAAGTGAACCAAAAACCCAGTGAGAGACTACTTGACTAATAAACCAAGCAAGCAGAAAGCCAAACTTACAACTAAAGATATACAAAATGGTGAAAACAAAAAGGCAAGGAAAACTGGTGGTGCAAGGAGCAGATGGGAATGTGGACCAAAACTGGAAAAAGAAACAAGGAAGAGCAGGAACAAGGCAGCAGGATACTGGATACATGTTACAGGGCAGGAGCAAGATCAGGATACATTACAATAGGATCTGGCAGCAACACTAGAGCAAGAGGCACTAAAAGGGGTGACCTAAATACCCTCCCAGCATCCAGCATCACGGGGAAACTGATTACTGGGATCTGCTGGCTGCTGGGAGAAACCCACTGGTGGACACTGGAATTACAACCCTCCACCCAGGGAACCACAGTGCCACCAGCAGGTGATCCAGGTCCTGACACTAGTTAACTGCAGGCTCTTTAGAACATTGAGGGTAAGGGGCCTGTATAATTGTGAAACATGAAGATATGCTCACTCCTACAAATGCTGTAATGTATGGACACATAGTAATTGCATGATAAGGGTGGGGGACATTTAAAAATAAGTTTATTTGCCACAAAGATATGAGCACCCTCGAAGACAAATGGTACAAATCCACTAATTTTCTGACCAATATATTCTCTTAAAAATAACTTGATGGATCCACTAACCTATGTCTAAGGTTCAATGGATTTGCCTATGTACAAGTATGTGAGTTTTTCAGTTCTTTCTCTAACCTCATACCTGATGAAGAAAAAAATTAGCATTCCTAAAAGCTAGTAGTGAGTATAATCAGTAAGCTAATTATATAGATGCTATTGTTTTTAACTAAGGCACTGTGCTCCCAATTACAATAAATAGAACATAGATTAAAATATGTGATTAAATAGCTAAATATATTTAAACAATTAGGTGCCCACTTTAGCCATGTGTATAATAGTTAATTGTGCAAAAACGTCATATACAAATAAATACATAAAACATCCAATAAAAATAATATTAATCACCACTGCCTATGCCAGTGCCTATGATGCTTTATATGTACTGTATATGATATATAGGACACTGTGTTCTTTCTCATTTCTTTAGGTGGGTTCTGGAAATGCCATGTATGCTCCACAGCCACCAGCAAGCTCTCAAAAGCCTCAGACCTCTGCCATGTACCCTCCACTACCCCCAGCACTATCTCAAAAGCCTCAAAATTCTGCCATGTACCCTCCACAACCACCAGCAAATTCTCAAAAGCCTCACATCCCTTATGTAAGTAAAATGAAAATCTGATTAACCTTTATCATGATATTTTTCTGTTTCAATAATTTTTTATTTGGGTTTTTGGAAAAGTAGTCATACAATTGACAAAGAAATAGAACATGTCACAATAGCTTATACATGAGTCACAATGCAGGAAATACAGTGAGGAACAGAAGTATTTGAACAGCCTGCGATTTTGCTAGTTCTCCCACTTAGAAATCATGGAGGGGTCGGAAATTCACATTGTAGGTGCATTCCCACTCTGAGAGACAGAATTAAAAAAAAAAATCAGGAAATCACATTGTATGATTTTTAAAGAATTTATTTGTCTTGCACTGCTGAACATAAGTATTTGAACACCTGAGAAAATCAGTGTTAATATTTGGTACAGAAGCCTTTGTTTGCAATTACAGAGGTCAAATGTTTCCTGTAGTTCTTGACCAGGTTTGCACACACTGCAACAGGGATTTTGGCCCACTCCTCCGCACAGATCTCCTCTAGATCTGTCAGGTTTCGGGGCTGTCACTGAGCAACACAGAGTTTCAGCTCCCTCCAAAGATGTTCTATTGGACTTAGGTCTGGAGACTGGCTAGGCCACTCCAGAACCTTGATATGCTTCTTATGGAGCCACTCCTTGGTTATCCTGGCTGTGTGCTTCGGGTCGTTGTCATGTTGGAAGACCCAGCCACGACCCATCTTCAATGCTCTGACTGAGGGAAGGAGGTTGTTGCTCAAAATCTCACAATAAATGGCCCCATTCATCCTTACCTTAATACAGTGCAGTCGTCCTGTCCCCTTCGCAGAAAAGCACCCCCAAAGCATGATGTTACCACCCCCATGCTTCACAATAGGGATGGTGTTCTTGGGATGCAACTCATCCTTCTTTTTCCTCAAACACGACGAGTGAAGTTTAGACAAAAAAGTTCTACTTTGGTCTCATCTGACCACATGACTTTCTCCCATGCCTCCTCTGGATCATTCAGATGGTCATTGGCAAACTTCAGACGGGCCTGGACATGTGATGACTTGAGCAGGGGAACCTTCCGTGCAATGCATGATTTGTAACCATGACGGCGTAGTGTTCTACCGACAGTGACCTTTGAAACTGTGGTCCCAGCTCTCTTCATGTCATTGACCAGCTCCTTCCTTGTAGTTCTGGGCTGATTCCTCACCTTTCTTATCATCATTGATACCCCATGAGGTGGGATCTTGCATGGAGCCCCAGTCCGAGGGAGACTGACAGTTGTCTTTAGCCTCTTCCATTTTCTAACAATTGCTCCAACAGTTAATCTATTTTCACCAAGCTGCTTGGCAATTGCCCCGTAGCCCTTTCCAGCCTTGTGGAGGTCCAAAATTTTGTCTCTGGTGTCTATTGACAGCTCTTTGGTCTTGCCCATGGTAGTAGTTGGCATCTGACTGACTGTGGGGTGGACAGGTGTCTTTAAAGAGCTCAGACAGGTGCTACTAAGTTAGATTAATGAGTGGAGTAGAGGTGGACTTTTTAAAGGCACAGTAACAGGTCTTTGAGAGCCAGAATTCTTGCTGTTTCTTAGGTGTTCAAATACTTATGTTTAGCAGTGCAAGACAAATAAATTCTTTAAAAATCATACAATGTGATTTCCTGAATTTTTTTTTTAATTCTGTCTCTCAGAGTGGGAATGCACCTACAATGTAAATTTCAGACCCCTCCATGATTTCTAAGTGGGAAAACTTGCAAAATCGCAGGGTGTTCAAATAATTCTGTTCCTCACTGTATTTGTGGTTTTACATCAAAGATAAGCATTAGGTAAAGAGGGCTGCAGGAGCTTTAATAAACCCTGACTAGACCAAAGAGAGACCCCTGTACTGGCAAAGGGTTGGCAGTGGGGATGTGCGCTTCTCATCAAAAAGGCACACATCATAATAGGGGCTAAGCCCCCAAGGATTTTGATTGGTATAGAGAGGGGTACATGTTGCTCCAAGCTTTCAACACCCCTCGAAAGGGGGTCAAGAAAATATCAATGTTAAGTAGTGAACTCTGAAACATAGCATAGATTGGAAGGCCTGGTAGAAGAGAAAGAGAGATATTGAAAAAAAAATAGTTTCCTTTAGTTATATTTTAACTCCTTCCCACCTGGCCTATTGTAAGATGACTATTATGTCATATGGCATTCTCCCAGGATCGCGCCCCATGGGACGCGTTTCGGCATGATCTGTAATCGGCCATGTTCACTGGACACCGCCAATGATAGATCACTACACCATCCCGCTGCCAGTGTCATGTGATCACTGTGACCAGTCACAGCACATCACATAACAGTTGTAAACTGTTGTTCTTCCTTGCCATTCATTGCCTACAACTGTGCTGCTAACTGTGATTGGTCGCAGTGATTACATGTACAGACTGGGCCAATCACAGCTGATCACAACAAAAACTACTGAATGAATCAGTTTCATTCAGTAAAAACGGCTGCTTATACCAATCAAATTCCTTGGTATAAACAATACGTAAAAAAAAAAAATCCTGATCACTTCCCCAGAGTAGTGCAATGTTACTGTGGTAACACGGTATTGCTCTGGTCCCAGGAGTAGAAAGAAAATTCATTAAAAAACATTTTCTAAATGTAATAAAAAATAAAATAAATTTTTTTTAGAAAAGTAAAAATTACTACATACTGCACCAGTTATATGATGACACTGTACTGCATTGGTGACAGTAAGTAAAAAAAATTGTGAATCATTTCTTCATTTTCCACAAAATTATGACAAAAAAAATGACAACTTCAAAAACTCGCCATGCCTTACTAAATACCTCAGACTATCTACTTTACAAAAAGCGGTCATTTGGGGGGTATTTATAGATTGTGGACTCTATAACTTTCCTACCAACTAAATAATAAACACTGATTTGGGTTATTTTCACAAAGAAAATGTTGCAGAATACATTTTTGACCTAAATTTGTATAGAAAGATTACTTATTTGCAACATTTTATAACAGAAATGAAGAAATTTACAAAGCACAAAATAAAAAAAAAAACACAGCGGCGATTAAATACCAGCAAAAGAAATCTCTATTTCTGTGACAAAAATGATAAAAATGTCATATGGGTACAGTGTTGCATGACCGTGCAATTGTCAGTTAAAGTTTGACAGAGCTGAAAGGTGAAAATTGGCCTGGGTAGGAAGGGGGTGAAAATGCCTAGTAGGCAAGCGGTTAAATTCGAAATGGAAACATATTGCAATAAATACAGTAAGGTATAACAGTGAAATAGGAGGATTATTCCTACTTAGGCTGCTTTATAGAATAGAATAAGTAGAACAGAATAAAACAGAATAGAAATAAAGGAAGAGAATAGAAAAGAATAGAATAAATAAAAAAGAATATAACAGAATAAAACCGAATAGGATAGAAAATAAAAAATAGAATAGAATAGAGTATAATAGAAAAAAAACAGAATAGAGTAGAATTGAATAGAATAGAGTAAAATAGAACAAAATATAGCCATCTTATGTAATTTGTATTTCCAGTTTCATTCCGATTTGTAAATAATGACTATACAAAATGAATCTGAATGTATGAAACAAATTCCTAAAACAAATCTTTCTACCATAACGAATATGACAAATGAAATGATTAAATTAATAAAACAAATTTGTCCATCACATCTCTAATAGTGGCTACTTTTGCAGGATTTTTTTCTTAACCTGGCGGACCGTCTGTGTTTATCAAAACATATTCAGGCTTTGAAAGCAAAGCTAATATTTTGTGAATATAAAGTTCTTTCATTTCGTTTCCCCACCCAGGGCTCCAGCTTGAAGGCTGCTGTGATCTGTCTTCTCTCCAAGCATTATTTAGAGGGATTATTCATTGACTAAGATATATATATAAAAATCCTACTGCACAAATAAATGTTGTTCCATAAGGACTCTTTCACTGAGGTTGATTGGAGTCCAAGCTGTGTCATACATTTGAAAGCAACTAGAAAAAATGTATCTAATCCAGGTTTGAGCTTCATGTAATTTATAATATATTCTATTTTGTTTCATTTTAGGCATATCAGAGGCCAACCAATGTGGTTCCAACCAGGCCAGCGTACCCATCAGTTCCCCCACAGGTATACTACTATATTGCTACACTCCTGATTTCCATCATATTATTAGACAAGCCTGACAAGCTTTAATCCCAGCTAATCATATTTAAACAGCACAATGCAGCTGCTCCAGTGGTTGGTTGCTGCATGGGACCACCTTTCAGTGATGCAGAATGAGCAGTGAAATTAGCAGAGCTGTCAATGCACACAAGCATTACCTTATGGAAAAATGCCTACCCAGCATTTAAAACAAACTTTGGCTGGTTTTCATTTTCATCCAAGGGAAAGTTACTTGAAATTACTCTGTTCTTCTTAGCTACACACAAAATGGTGTAGGTCTAGGACGGGTGTCAGCAACCCGCGGCTCCAGAGCCGCATGCGGCTCTTTTTCACATTTGCTGCGGCTCCGGAGCACACTGCCCACCAGGTGACACAATAGGGTTGCCGTGCTCAGTGGTCAGCAAGCCGCAGGATACACATGCAGCTCTTTTGTGCCGGGCAAACTCCCGCTGGCAAACATTGGCTGTCAGGATGTAGGCGGGGCAAGAACTCCTCTCCTCTCACAGTCCGCCCTGAAGACCAGAAAACACGGCGAGAGGAACGCGCCAAATAAGGTGACACAATATGGGGAATGAATTACTATAGGGGGGATGCATTACTATGGGGGATGAATTACTATGTGGGGGGTAATTACTATGTGGGGGATGAATTACTATAGGGGGGGAATGTATTACTATATGGGGGATGAATTACTATGGGGGATGAATTACTATATGGGGGATGTATTTTCAGTTTTAAAAATGTGGCTCGCAAAATAAATTTCAATCGTGGTTTTGGCGAGATTTGGCTCAGTTGAAAAAAAAGGTTGCCCACCACTGACCTAAGGCTATGATTGTGATTATGACGATACACTGTGGCCCTGATTAACCCTTTGCTTACTGGGCCCTTAAACCCCCTTCATGACCAGAGCGCTTTTTGCAATATATGCAGTGTCGGATTTGTTTTAAATGTTGCAATGGTTTTGCGGCTCCCAGTCTTTTTTTCCCTCTCGGAAAACGGGTCCAAGTTGCTCTTTATGTCTTAAAGGTTGCAGACCCCTGGTCTAGGATGAATGATTTTATTACATTGAAGTATACAAGACTACACTAAAACATGATCCATGGTGTATAAGAATTATGGCATTACTTTTTACTAAATGTGTAAGTTCAGGGCTAAGGCCCATCCAATAGACCAGGGGTATCCAAACTTTTGAAACAAAGGGCCAGTTTACTACCCTTCAAACTTTAGGGGGGCCGGATTGTGGCCAGTGGGAGTAGAAAATGCCCTGGCATCAGTGGGAGTAAACAATACCCTAGGCTTGGTGGTCAGTGGGAGGAACAGTGCCCCATCGTTGGTATCAGTGGGATAATTAGTTCCCCATTTCTGGTATCAGTGGGAGGAACAGTGCCCCGTCACTGGTGTCAGTGGAAGGAACAGTGCCCCGTCACTGGTGTCAGTGGGGTAATTAGTTCCCCATTTCTGGTATCAGTGGGAGGAACAGTGCCCCATCACTGGTGTCAGTGGGAGGAACAGTGCCCTGTCGCTGGTGTCAGTGGAAAAAAAACAGTGCCCCGTCGCTGGTGTCAATGGGAGGAACAGTGCCCCGTCACTGGGGTCAGTGGGAGGAACAGTGCCCTGTCGCTGGGGTCAGTGGGAGGAACAGTGCCCCGTCGTTGGGCTCAGTTGGAGGAACAGTGCCCTGTCGTTGGGCTCAGTGGGAGGAACAGTGCCCCATTGCTGGTTTCAATGGGAGGAACAGTGCCCCGTCACTGGGGTCAGTGGGATGAACAGTGCCCCGTCATTGATGTCAGTGGGAGGAATAGTGTCCAATCATTGGTGTCAGTGGGAGGAATAGCACACAATCATTTGTGTCAGTGGGAGGAATAGTGCCTCACTGTTGGTGTCAGTGGGAGGAATAGTGCCCAATCATTGGTGTCAGTGGGAGGAATAGCACCTCTTTGTTGGTGTCAGTGGGAGGAATAGCGCCCCATCATTGGTGTCAGTGGGAGGAATAGCGCCCAACCGTTGGTGTCAGTGAGAGGAATAGCGACCCATCGTTGGTGTCAGTGGGAGGGATAGCACCCCATCGTTGTTGTCACTGGGAGGAATAGTGTCCCATCATTGGTGTCAGTGGGAAGAATAGCGCCCCATCGTTGGTGTCAATGGAAGGAATAATGCTTCATAACAGTGGAAGGAAAAGTACCCCAAGGGCCAGATAAAAGCAATCAAAGGGCCATATCTGGCGCACAGGACGAAGTTTGGAGACCCCTGCTCTAGAGCTATACCAACATATTAATCTTCTCTTTGTTAAATGGGACCTATGGAACTTTCATTGTACAGGGGGATGACATATTAATGCAAGTAAGAGAAGTCAAGCTCTAGGTCAGACATTCTCAACCAAGGTTCCATCGAACTGTAGGGTTCTTCAAGGGATTGCTAAGTGTCACATTTATGCGGATTGGATACGGTTTGAATCACATCCAATCCGCATAATATGTGAAATAACATTGCTTCCTATGGTGCCTGTTCACATATGTCCAGTGCACTGCCGATGCAGATTAAGTGAGGTTTAAAAAAGAGTCAGCACGTTTTCTGAGCAATGCGGTCCAGTTCAGGAGCGGATTACAGGCTATTGACTTCTATGAGAACCATTTTTCTAAACCTGACATGGGTAAACAGAATAAAATCCTGAGCTGATTCTGTCCTGAACCTGATGTAAACCTGACCTGAACCGGTGAACAGCTACTGATGGATAACTGATGTCCCATTTGGTGATACTTGCATAGTTTTAGGTCCAACAACAATTGGCAAAAATACCGCATTATCTTTTTAGCTATTTGTAAGTGTAGCATTCTGACCACCACTGAAAAGCTTGATAAACACTTGCAGAATTTAGTTCAAAATTTTTATTTTAAGCGCGTTTATTGGACTTCCTAACTGTTAGTGGGGTCAATACAACATTCCTTTTCAACTGCGGTGACAGCAAAATTAGGAGTGGAATGGAAGATTTTTCTAAAGCCAAAGAATTTGGTTTCCCATGGGAAAGTTAATTCACTCCAAAATCGAAAGTTAAGAGCAAACTACATTATAAAGTACATTTAAATGACATTTGTCAAGTCACTACTGATTCTACTAGTTTACTGATTCTTTGTGAGAATGTTAGAACAAATTTTCATGCAAATATTCATTTGAAAATCTACTATTGAATGATCAGCTTAAAGGTGACATTCTTCCTACTGACCACCAATTTAAGGGGCACTTTTCCACTGACCCCCTATGAATTGGTTTTAGGCAAGGGTTCCCCAAGACCTGAGAACTATTTCAAGAGTTCCTGAGAGGTAAAAACGTTGAGAAAGGCTGCTGTAAGTAGTAAAATGAAACAAGGTTCAAAGGGGTGCACTGAAGAAGTGTTCCATGCTTGTAAAGGTAACATTAGACAACTTTTGAAGCCTGTTTGCAGTTTTAAAAGTTTAAAATGGCTAACCAGTTCACTTGAAGCAGAATGAGTTCTGAGTGGGTTCTTTAATTACAGATGAATCTCAGGCATATTCTGCTCAGTCCTAACTGTGCTGAGTAACCATTCAAGTACAGTGGCATACGTAGGAGTTGTGAAAGTGCCACAGTCCAGAAATGTTAAATTGTTTGCAGCCAGGGCAGATCTATAGGCAGATATTCAGGAGAATCCAAAAATTACCGACTTTATGGAACATGTCTACTCATAACATTATATATGGTGCTAAATACCAATCTGCTTAAACTCAGCTTACACTGCAGTCCTCAATGGTTTTCTAATATGACCAATTCACACTTTTTTTTTTCAGGCAATGAAGCCAAATTACAGACGATAAGAATAATGTACAGCAGAGGCAGAAATATATTGTAAAAGCACTATAAAACACATCTCTATTATGTATCTATACATATCATACTTCTTCATTTCTACATTTCTGGAAATCACCAAGATTGTGGTGGCATAGTGTGCTTTTCTTCTCCACGGTTACAATTAATGTTATTTTATATTTATATAATTGTTATTCTTAATATGTTTGCATTTTTATTATAAGTGAATTATATATTTCCTAATAACAATGTATCAGTATTTTTTATCACGTTAATGCAAAACTGTAACCAAATTTAATACCTCGGATTTTTGGCATGACAAACAATAAGTATCCACTGGGGTTGATTTACTAAAGGAATATACACTGTGCTCACTTCAGTTAACCTTTAAAGTGCAAACAACATTTTTTTCCCTTGCACATTTTTGGTTGTGCCACTTATCAGCCTGGATGTTCTCTCTCGAGTCTCCTGCCCAGCCACCACTATCATCCTCACAGCACATAGGGGCAGGAGGTGCTGGATATTGGGACAGAGAGCGGGAGTCTTTTCATTTTAACAAGCCGGTAATCACCCACTTGTTAACAAAATAAGTTGGGCAGCTCCCACCATCTGTCCAGATCTGCAGCACCCCTTTCCTCCCTCGCCTGCTGTGATAGAGGCAGCCAGGAGACCCGAGAGAGAACACCCAGCTGCTATTTGTCTCTACCCTGGCAGGACTGTGCAGGGGAGGCTGCAAATGAATCGGGTACTGTAAAAGGGACACTGATATATGTAAAGGGGGCACTGTGACATGTGAAGGGGCATTGTGATGTGTAAAGGGGCTCTGTAACATGAAGGGGAACTGAGGTTACTAGGAGTACTTTAAAGTGGGGAATGTGATGTAAAGGGGTTCTGTGATGTTAAGGGGGACCATAGACTCTGATGTTAATGAGGACTGAGATGTTAAGGGATGTTGTGATGTGAAGGAAGGGCTGAGGATAGTGAAGTAAAGAAGGGGCTAAGATGTGAAGGGTGGGGGGGGGGGGGAGCTGAGGGCACTGATGTAAAGAAGGGACTATAATGTAAAGGGGGGCTGAGGACACTGATATAAAGAAGGGGCTATGACGTGAAGGGGGGGGGGGGCTGAGGACACAGATATAAAGAAGGGGCTATGATGTGAAGGGGGGGTTGAGGACATGGATATAAGGAAGTGGCTATGATGTGAAGGGGGGGGGGCTGAGCACATGGATATAAAGAAGGGGCTATGAAGTGAAGGGGGGGGCTGAGGGCACTGATATAAAGAAGGGGCTATGATGTGAGGGGGGGGGGTTGAGGACATGGATATAAGCAAGTGGCTATGATGTGAAGGGGGGGGGGCTGAGGACACGGATATAAAAAAGGGGCTATGATGTGAAGGAGGGGGGGCTGAGGACACTGATATAATGAAAGGGACTATGATGTGAAGGGGGGGCTGAGGGCACTGATATAAAGAAGGGGCTATGATGTGAAGGGGGGGTTGAGGACATTGATATAAGGAAGTGGCTATGATGTGAAGGGGGGGGGGGCTGAGGACACGGATATAAAGAAGGGGCTATGATGTGAAGGAGGGGGAGCTGAGGACACTGATATAAAGAAGGGACTATGATGTGAAGGGGGGGCTGAGGACACTGATATAAAGAAGAGGCTATGATGTGAATGGTAGGCTGAAGACACTGATGTACTGGGAATACTGTGATGTTAAAGGGGTCTATGATGACTTACAGTGCAAACATGAGATTCAGACCTCTGCTGGAAGAAAATTTTGGATCTCTGTAAATTTTAATGCAAGATCCCTGGTCTAAACTATCTAGCCCTAACATACTGGGAATCTGGATTATACTATTTACTGACATAAAATGAAAAGTTGTAGTTACACTGAATTGCCATGAAATGCCAGCACCAAGACATTATTACATAAATACATAATGAAATCCAATGCAACTGTAATGGATACGCAGTACGTGTTTCAGAACAAAATGTATTGTGTCAAGATTCCCACCTTTTTTAGTAAATCAGCCTCAACTTTTTTGCCTCATATTAGAACCTTCTACCTGATATGTTAAAAGTCAGTTGTCAGTGCAACCTGCGACCTCTGCTTTGTCTTGCAATATGTCTTCTTGCTGTGCTCCCTGAGATGCTGCACAGCACCCTGTCTGATCCATAGGACAATTCTGCCTTGTGCCTTGTTTCTGCTAAACTTTGAACACCTTGCTCCTCCCATGAACTTCCTATTTAGGCCACACCTTTGCACCTACTGTTTGCCAAGTTATTGTGCTCTTTCCAGCCAATCTCTCTCTCTTGTCACTCCTGCTGCTGTCTGTATCTCTTTTACTACTCATTACCGACCTTTGGCTTGTTTGTCGACTATGTTTCTGCTTCATCCCAACCCATGACCATGTGTTATTGACCTTTGGCTAGTTTACATACTATGCTCCTGCTTGATCCCAGGACCATCCCTGGTGGGGTGATCCTGAGGACCGTAACCTGGTACTAACACACAGCAAAACCCATCTCTACCATCAGTAGCTCTGGTGAACACCAGTTAGTGCTTAGACTCTGCACCTTGGGTGAGCCTGTGCCATCTGTCAGGGTGACCTGCTGCTACATGTATCCAGTTGGTTAGTGGGAGCTTCTCTACTGCTGTGGCTACTGGCCTCCAAGCTTGACCTCTGACTGACACAGTGAATTGAAATCTGTATTCTCATGCTGTTTGCTACTTAACATTATAAAATGCATCTTATGGATAAGGCAGTCTACTGTAGGACACACAGCAAATCAGGCTCTGGTATATAGAAGCTGGCCATAGATATATTTAATTTTGATTTATGTATGGCCATTCCTGCTCGACAGAAGTTGACCTAACAATCGGCTTCTGTTGAACTGGAATATTGGAAAATTTTCATTTGATCAGCACCCACACTGATCAGTGCACCCTGACAGAAAAAGAGTCCCACTGTCAGAATACAATAGCACAATGGGGAGGATTCCTCCAAAAACTATCCTTGTATGGCCAGCCTAAGACTATTAAACATTGTTCATGGATGCCAGTTGTTCTTCAAGCATAACCTAGTCAGAATATCATGATGAAATCATCAGTGTTTTTATTGAATGCAATAAGTATAGTAGAGCACAACACAGAATATAACTGATAATTGAAGGAAGAGTACAGGCAAACTGTAACAATCAGTTACATATAGTGGAACAGAAGGATACAGTCAGAATTACTCATACCATTAATACATGCACAGTCTGTAGATGCCAACTAATTATTTCTATGCAGCGCAACAAATCTGTATTCAGCGTTTATCACCAAAGTACAAAGAAAGGGCTAGTGAAGAAAGAAATTAGTAGAACCGGAAATCTTCAGTGTTTGTTTTATGAGATTGTCGTTATGTTTTCCACCTTTCCAGCACATCCATACAGGTTATTGCAAGTTCACCTAAAGACAATAAAGTTTATAGATAGAGGTCATTGCAGTGAATGAAAGATAATGTTGAGTGTGCAGCTAAACAACCCACTGACAACTAATAAATGCACTGGTGCCACCTCTCTTCTTATCAGTGTTCCCTCCTCTGCCCACCATAGAGTCCATCTCCTCCAACTATATTTTCAATATCAGAGCAGAGGGAGATTGACACCACCAACATATAGCAAAATGTGACATAAAGCTTCCAAATTGTGATTTAGCCTTGAGTGACCTGCACAGATCCCTGACCTCAACCTTACTGAACACCATAACAGATGAATTGTAATGCTGACTGTGAGTCAAGTCTTCTCATCTAACATCAGAATCTAACCTCACAAACAGCTCTTTTGGCTAAATGGGCAGAAATTCCCACAGACACTACAAAAACTCCAAATCTTGTGGAAAGCATTCCCAGAAGAACAAAACTATGGAGGGGGTTGGGTGGTGTGGGGGTCAACTCCATATTGATGTCCTTAGTCCAGCAATATCATATAGATATTAAGGTCACGTTTCCACAAAAATTTGGCCATATTGTGATTTAGCCTTGAGTGACCTGCACAGATCCCTGACCTCAACCTTACTGAACACCATAACGATGAATTGGAATGCTGACGGTGAGTCAAGTCTTCTCATCTAACATCAGAATCTGACCTCACAAACAGCTCTTTTGGCTAAATGGACAGAAATTCCCACAGACACTACAAAATCTTCAAATCTTGTGGAAAGCATTCCCAGAAGAACAAAACTATGGAGGGCGTTGGGTGGTGTGGTCAACTCCATATTGATGTCCTTTTTCCAACAACATCATATAGATATTAAGGTCACATTTCCACAAAAATTTGGCCATATTGTGTATGTGGTTACCAAGGGCGGACTGACCATTTGGAAACTCGGGCACTGCCCGAGGGCCCGGGGTCAGTAGGGGGCCCCATGAGATGCCCCTGGTACCTTTTTCATAGGCTTTTTTGAGGTTTGGGCAAGGACACAGGGGCCCCTATTGCCCGTGGGTCCCATGAGTTGTCAGTCCGCCCCTGGTGGTTACATTTACATCTCTTACTGTAACAGATTTAATAAATTGCAAAAAAAAAATGCTTTAAATTGCACTTAGGCAGTTTGCATCTTTATTGTCAAAGGAATTACAAACCATTTGCAGATTTGAATTCCCTTGCACCATATCGGATGTTAATATTATATATTGTACACTCCTGCTTTGTATATCGCATATACAAATTCTTTAACACAGGGCTGGCAATCAGGTAAGGTCTGTACAGGCAGTTTATTTTCAAAATATATAAAGATCTACTGAAACATTAGCAGAATTTACAGGCGTTGGCACTGGCATCCTCCAAAAATTCTGTAATAATTGTCAGTGTGGGAAGCAAAAGTTCACACAGATATGGAAAGAATGCACAAAATACATGCAGCAGCGGCCTTGGATGATATGATTGATTACCAATATCAATTACACTAGCACAGTATTACAGAACTCCAGGGCATGTATGCAACAAGTGAAATCATTGTGAC